AAAAAAGTGGCAAGGCTTTAGTTTCAGGAAAGGTCGTATTTTCAGGGAAACACAGTAACTCCATTTCTAAATGTAAATATATTTTCATATATTAGATTTTACACACACACACACACACACACACACACACACACACACACACACACACAGAAAATAGCAATGACTACATCTCATATAGTAAAAAAAGAATATGTAACAATGTTCCTATCCACAAATAAATGGTTCCATGCATGCAGAAAGGGGTCTAGCAGGAAAGAAAATATCCAGGCTAGGAAGAAAATTATCTATAAGGGAGTGTAATAATCTCCTGACTCTCCAGAAGATCAGATGTATTTTCACATAATAAATCTGTCCTATTATTTGGAGGGGGGGGGGGAGAATATAGATTTTAAATCATTGTACCTAATGAGCCACATCCTTCCAAGGTGGATAAAATGAGGACCCAAATTGTTGGAGGCATTATGCTGACTCTGCAAACCACTTAGAGAGGGCTGTAAAGCACTGTAAAGTGGTATATTAGTCTAAATGCTAAGGCTAAAGGTATTTTCACTACTAGAACCAAATGGCACATGATCATATTCTTATAATTATCATTCAAAATGTGATTCAAATTTATGGTAAGTTAAAGGAAATGTGCAGTGTAAAAATTACTCTATTTCTAGATAGAGAAATATATATTCAAATAAATAATGTATAATCTGTTTTATAAAATATGTCATATTTTTGGCTGTTTACTCTCTTCACCTGTAACATTTGACTTCCAGCACCATCTCTTAATCTGTATGGTCTAATGACTCCATCGTCGCTAAAGAAGCGTGGAGGACGCAAGCTTAAGACATCTTCAGAAGCATTTGTGGCTCTGAAATTACAAGTTTAAGGATTATGCACTTAGAGATAATATTGGCATACCTATTTAAAAGATACAACACAAGCTGTAAATAAGATTACACAAAGATTTCCCCCCATATATTTCTCTGAACTATTTAATAAATTACAGTACTATTTAATAAATATGCTATAATTGTACACTGATATGCAGATGCAGCAACTTTAACAAAATAGCTATTGTATCTAGTAAATTTCATGGTGGATTGCTTTAAAAATTAAAAATTTTAAGCCACAGATTTGCTCTTTGTTTTGTCTTTGGATGGCCAATGCAGCAACCCCATGATAATAAAAATTCTTACAGCCATGGGTCTGCAGTTCTACCACACCTGCTTATTTCTCTCATCTCTTATGACTTTAAGTGGGACAGGAGTTTTTGTCCTAAATTATTACGGTCTTAAGTCAAGTTGAACTAGCTTTTAGAACAATTTTACCGCAGTCGTAAAGCAAAATCCATCTTCCCCAATGGGAGTTGTTTTGCCAAAAATTGGGGGAGAGGAAGAAAGGAAGAGGAACAAATTGCAATCATGTGACTGCAACATGCTGCAAATGGTCATAAATACAATCTCATTTGCAATCCCAATGGCCAAACTCCGATCAAGTAACGCTGGGTGTACTTTGACGATTTTAAGTATAAGTCACTCTTCCCAAGGTGTGGTAACTTTGAACCATCTTTAAATGAACTGTCAAGTTGAGGACTACTTATTGTTTTGCTATAATGCACTACTTTGCCCCTGTAAAGATTACGAGAACTAGAGTTTTAGTAGTATATAGATAATAATTATTTGCATTTTGGATACTGAAAATATTTAAAGATAATTGACAAATTTATAGAGAAACAATTAGATATTATTTTAGTCTTGCCTTTTAATTCCTTGAAAAGTGCTACTAGCCATATCTATTATTCCTCCAGTAGGCCTTGCCACTGCTCCTACTAATCCTTTTCCAACTCCTTTGAAGAAACCTGCTGCTCCTTCCTTTTGGGCTCCTAGAGGAAAAAGCAACAACATTTAAAGGAAGCATTAAATAAAAATATATACAAAATTTTGTCAAAAGTTCTATTCAAAGTTATTTTACCAATTTTTTTATTGGAAAAAAAAACCCAAGGGAACTTTAATAACATTCCCTTCCCACATGGCTTTCAGAAACCAAATCGGACTGAGAGCAAAGGGTCCGGCTTTCTGATTACAGCCTTCTAAAAGAAGAAATGGGATAAATAGCTGTACAGCAGCAGCAGAGGACATAATAAATATGATAAAATGTGAATTATTTTTCCTATTTGTGAGGGCAACCATTAGATGAAAAAAATAATTCCCTTGTAGGCTGCCCATATCCAGTCAACATCAAAGCTGCTACAAATGAATTCCTATTTAAAAAAATTGAAATATTTTCTTTCAGACTATGAAAGTTCACATATTATAGACAGCTATAGTATGAAACAATGATTTCTTTTTCATTTTATGAACAGTAGGTTACCTCTTATTGGTTTGGTTACTATTCCTGTTATGCCACTGACAAAACCCTGTGAATAGAGACAAATATTTCATTTTCCACCCAAAATGAAATGCATATTTTAAGTATTTTCTATGTTAAAATTTATAAATGATTAGTATTGAATCATAAAAAGTAGTTAATTTAATTGATAAACTGTCAACCTAACTCATAATCTTTACCATAATGAAATTTTAAATTTTCATTAATGTAACATATGAATGAACTGCCCCAGCTACTACTCTTGAGGCCATTCTAAACATTCAAATATATATTTCTTACAGATACTAAGCCTTTTCCTCCACGAGTAAAGCCCTCCTTCAGGCCAGCAGGTTGCTTATTCATTGCTTCCCGTCGTTTCTGCTGATAATCGTCATCCATAGTTATTGCTGCTACTCCTTTAGCCATAGCACCAGTTATTCTTGAAGCAGCACCAGCTAGTCCACCTTTTACGGTATCACGAAAGATATTTTTTTTATTAAATTAGAAATCTTAAATATAGTAAAAGTACAATATATATATTGTAAATATATGGCATTTCTGTATCCATGTTAAAAATCATACTTACCAACAGCACCCCCAACTAAAGCTTTTAATCCTAGTGCCATTCCTTCTACAAATTCTTCTGGACCCTGGATAGCCCCCTGAAAAAAGAACAAAAATATGATTTTTAAAAAACTATTTTACTTAATGATAAATTCTTCAATGAAAAAATGAAATACAAGCAAAAAAAGAAAAGTGTAAAGTGTATCTGGTACTCACTATAAGTAGTGTAGGAAATAAAATAGGAAAGGTAAAGCTTTGGATAATGACACCTAAAGCAATTTATATCTAAGCTAAGTAGTTGATTCTTACTAAAACCAATAAGCAAAGGTTAGAAGTACCTCTGTTCTACTATGATTGAAGAACTTCAAAACTTGCTAACATTCCACATTTCTGTAAAATTTTATGTAAAGTGAATACAATATTTTCACAGCCAACATTAACAAATACAGCCAGTCCTTGTATAGATAATAAACATACCTGATAAGGCTCATAAAAAAATGCTTCAACTCCTTCAGACAAATCTCTTATGAATCCAAATGGATTGCCCAAAACATCCAGGCCAAGAACAAGAACATACATTTGTTTAATAGCCTGAAATGAAAATCCAGTTTTATGAAAAAAAGACGTTGTTAACAGTAATTTGGAACAATGTTTTTTTGTAATGATGCAACAAATGTTTTAAATGCATGAAATCTAAACTAAAAATGCCTCTCTGAATTCCATTTGTAGAAGGGAAATTGGTATTGTGGAGAAACAGAAATGGCTAATTTCCAACCCTTACAGAAGATGGATACGATACAATAAAAAAGCAATTTTCTTTCCTGCCAAATTTTTTCTGTCTACTTTCCTCTGTCTGAGCACTGCTGTCATTAGATAGTCCTCAACTGATGATGTATCTGAGCCCAGAATTACAGTTGTAAAACACTGTGGATATACATTGAGGCAAAAACCAGAAGTAAATGTCAGAAAGCAGGCAAAACAATGCAAATTACAGTCACATGACTATAGGATATGACAAATGGCTGTAAAGATCAGCTGGCTGCCAAGTGCTCAAAATGCAACCATATGACTGCAGGATGAATGCTTTTGTGCATTCACCAAAAATCTGAAAACAAGTGGTAAGTAGCTCTGTCTGGGGAGGTCCACTGTAACTTCAAAAGGTTAAGCAACCAGTCCATAAGTTTTGTATCATTCATAAATCCAGGGTTTTGTATTGCTTTGAATGGATAATATTGGGCTTCTTGAAAAGGCAAAAACAAATTAAGGTTTAAAATATTTATAGATATTTTAATTGTAATATTTCTGTTTTTGAAAATTTAAAAATAATTTGTCAATATGTACAGATAAAATTTATCACTGTTATATGCATACTTGAAAAAGCAGAATAGAGGCAAGATATAGGAAAATTCTGCATAGCTTTTTCCCAGCTTTTCTTCACTTCAGAAACATTGTGTATGCTAAGTTTTCCAGCCAGAAAGTTAGTGAACACAATGTTTTTAAATAGCAGAAAGGCTCTCTCCAACCTTTGTTGCCTTCAGAAACATCATGAGAGCTCGCTATTCTTCTCAACAGTAAAAACAGCCTCTTTCTACCATTCAGAAAGATTGCATTTGCTAGAAAGTTAATGAACACAATGTAACAATATTGTTATTCTTCTGTAACAATAAAAACATTGCATTCACTAGCATTTGCAGAGGGGACAGGAACCACCTTCCTGGGCTGGAGAAAGGAAGTTAAGCTTAACTTCCTTTCTCCAGCCCAGCCCAGCAGTTCCCTTTGGCACACTGAAGGAAGGGGGAATTAGTGCACTGGGATGGAGAAAGGAAATTTGAGACCCTAAAGAGCCAAGCTTCATTTTTCTGGGTAGCATGGCAGTTTTCTTCTACATATGAATGGAAGGAGAAGGCTTGTGGTGGGATGGAGAGCTTGGATCTTAGGGTTTCAAGGGTTGGATCTTCATTTCTACAAACCAGGGCAGGAATTCCCGTCTGCTGTTTTGACAGACAGCTCCTTTGTTCTGTCCACTCAGTTACCCTGCAATTGCTCAATATTTGCAACAGAAAAGGTCAGAATTGCAGTATTTGAGCAAGTAGTCTTATGGACACCTTGCTTAATGGCTGCAACACCTAAAATTTCAGACCCAACTGAGGTAAGTCAAGTCACATCTGCATTTTGTATTATTTAAATTTTATTTAAAAAGGAAAGTAAAGAAAACAAGGACAACTTGATGTTTGGTAAGATACATTTTTGTTTCTGCCTACCTAATCAGTGTAACATTTCAGTTACATGGAAAAAGTGCTCACATGGTTAATTCATATTGGCTTATACTAACCTGCTTTGAATAATGCATGATAACTGCCCACTGCAATCCTTGGGTAGTACAGAAGTGATAGTTCAGTTCAAAGAAAGCCAACCTAAAACAGGCAAATCACATACATAAATGAAAAATAAAGTATAAGTACTATTCCAATTAAGACTATTATATTAATGTAGTCCACATACTTAAGAACAACATCCTGCACATCTGTAAGTGTGGCACCAATGCTCTTTAACAAGAGGTTTAAGGACTGAACCGGAATCAGTTCCTTGCATTTTTGGTCCTTGTTGTTCTCTTCTCTACCAGTACTGAGTGAAAAGCTTAAATGCAGCTGAAAGAAAAAAACCAATAAAGAATTGGAAACTTTGAATAATATTCTAATTCTTGAAAGATGTTTTGTTGTTTCTATAAGAACTACCGTGTTTCCCCAAAAATAAGACAGGGTCTTATTTTCTTTTGACCACCAAAATAAGTGCTTGGCTTTATTTTCAAGGAGGTTTTATTATTTATTATTTATTATTTATTATTTATTATTTATTATTTATTATTTATTATTTATTATTTATTATTTATTATTTATTATTTATTATT